TCACAACTTAGAAGGTCTAGACCCCAAAACCCCAAAACCCCAAAACCCCGTCATTAGACAATAAATGTGTGAATAAAATAATTATACTAGAAATTTTAAATGGCAACGTAGTCTTCCATTTATAAAGGCTAGGGTTAAGAATCTTAAAAGATTGCTTTCCCTGAGGTAACTGAAAATAAAGGTCTAAATGAGTTTGGGTTTGCAACCTATAGACCACCAAGAGGCTAATCATTGTTTATTAAGCGCAAGAAAATTAAAGAAATGTTTGGTAGCGAAGAATATGTTAAGCGAGATAATCAGACAGATGTGTTTTAATTTGGAAGTGAGAATTTTTCAATAAATCAAATATATTAATACTACTACAACAAGGTAAGAATAGATATTTTTAAGTGATTATTAGAGTACTAGATATCCGATTCAATCATTTATGGACGTATATTTTCATGATGCCCTTTAAGAATATGGAAGAGAAGGTGGAAATGAATTAGACAGGCTGAAAGTAAAAACAAAAAAATTTTCATAACTAGCTCAAAAACTATTTAACCTTAATATGATAGAATAGAGATTACATGCTAGAAAAGCTTATGAATAAAAATTGATAAAAACATAGTGATTTTAGAATCTAAAATAAATTAGCAAACTAATAAAAGTGACTGAAATAAAGCTTAATAAAGGAGTATATGAGCATGAATATGTGAAAATATATGATTTATTATTTAGAGTAATTTAATAAATAATTATAAAGACAGAGATTTTGCATAAGCAGCAATAATCAATGCGATATATGTATATTTATCAAGTCTTTTATAACTTCAGACTTGAACTATATTTAGAATCATCTCATTGTACAATCATCCTCATTTATTCTTGCTGAATGCTGTCAAGTCTTTTTTTAATATAAATATCGACTAACTTTTGTTGGCTAGGATTTAATTTCCCTGTAAATGCTTAGAAGTAGTCATCTCCAATTATAGCCTAAATCTCAACTAAACAAAAAACTGTGCATTTCCTGACATCTGCATTTTAGTTATTTATTATTTCATAGAAATAATCCGCCATTTAGACTAAGTTTTGAGCAATGTGCTGATAAGATTCAATTTTGAACTCACCCTCAATTTCCCCAGTATTGATTATCCTAACTCTGTTCATTACCATCCTAATGATTGCTTAGAGTTTTGGTGGCTCAATTTATGCAAATAGTGGGCAAATGCTTTAGACTAGGAATTATGATTCACACTTCTTTGCAAGAGAGTCTAATATTTAATCAGCAGGATCATTTGCTGAATTATGTGTAACAACTTAGCCAGAAAATTCCAAGGAAGATGTATAAATTTAGAGCGTCTAATGCAGCAGTTTATCTCTTAGTTTTAAGTTCATAACTTTCATTGATAGTTAATTCAATCTTTCTCTAGTTTACACTGCTATTAAATCTGAAATGGTTCTTATACACAAATCTTTAATAGCTGGAGAATCTTATTTGTTGCACATAATTGAGAAAAGGGAATCAATAAGACTTTCAAATGTTGGCTGCCAAACATCCTGCAAGATGCTTGGACAATTAGACTTCATTATCTTGCTCAAACTTTTGAAGCTTTATATTTTGTTTGTTTAAGACTAGTTGTTGTCCATGAAAATAGAGTAAATTGATATTACTTGAGATATTAGATTACTCTAGATTGAATTCTAGGTAGGAATAGTTGTACTCATAGAGAAATTAGAAAAATCTATGTTTACACTCTCGTCTGTCATTGTTTAGTTAGAAGAAATTTGAGTTTAGTTTGAAAATTGATTCAATGTTGTTATTAATGGTTATTTCTGTTTCATTTAAGCAGAATTCTCCTTATTGTTTGCTCCTCTCTCATCCAGTTTTGATTTTTAATCTTTGATTGGTGACCTTTGAGTTTTATTAGTAAAATTTTGAAGTACTGGTGTTGATTAATTATTGTTCTAAGTTAAAGACTTATTGCTTGCTTCTTAAGTTCTTACTGCTGTTGTTTCAACGACAGAGCAATTCTTTTATTTGCTTTAATGGTTTAAGTTTTGATTTTGATATTGATTTGCATATTGTTCACTCACATAGTTGCTTTGATCTTCTTAGTAATTGATTATTTACTTCGCAAGATTTCGATCAAAGACATTAGCGACTTACTTCAATATATTTTACTATAGATTGCTTAGTAGATTTATACTTTCTAAGGTAAACTTGACATTCTTATCTCTCAAAATTTAAATTGCTTTTAAACTTGAGATTTGGACCTGCTTCTATGAAGAATGATTTTGTAAGATTTAGGATATGATTTGAACAGTTGATTCAAATTAAATTTACTCTGAAAGCTTTGCTCTAAATTATATGAGATAAAAACTAAAACTTACTCCTTCAATAGAATGCATAGAGTGTCTAGACCACTTAATTTGATGGGAATCTAGGTGTTATCATCACTAATCTCTTCAAGAATCCCGACTAAATTAGGAAGAATAACATTTGGTGTCAAAACTTCCATCACAAGTTGAAGCAGCTCTTGACCTTTTAAATTCATATTATCTTTTTTAGTCGAAATTAATCTTAGAAGTGCTCTTACTATATTTTCTATATGATTGAATAGCATTTCTGGCATTTGTGTTAGCAAAAATTCAACTAAATCCATCGAAACCTCCACTACTTTAGTAGTTTGTTCATTCATAAGATACTGTAAGGATATGTTTACAATCAATGGAAAGGTTTTTTCTTTCTTTAATATCTTGCTTAATTATTCATGATCCAAGTCTACAAGATATGTCATAAGTTCTTGAAAAGCTTCAACTCTGAGTTGCCAAGAATTATTTTTCATCTTAATAAACAATTTGTCCATGCTCACCTACTATGAGTTTGAATGGTCTGTCATTGCTTGGTTAGTCATTGCAAAGTTCTCTACATTAGCATTGAATGGATTGGTATAGCCTCCACTACTTTTAATTGTTTAAGTATTTCCTGCTTGAGGGTAATTAAGGCTAACAAGTTTTATTTTACTAGCACTTTTTGAAGATGTTGGCGACTGATTACTCCTTCTAGATCCTGAAGACTTCATCGGAGTCTTCATTTTCTTATCTGAATTTACTAGTTATTTTGCTGTAGATGGTCTTTTCTATGATCTCTCCCTCTCATACTTTTGAGTCTTCTCTGCTTCGAGGACGAAATTATTGACTTAAGTCTATCCTAGGACATTACTCTGAATTAAATTATTTGAGTTTCCATAAGATTTTGATAATTAAATTTTATTTTGGGTATCACTCTTATTCTCAAATACTGTTCTATCATCATAAATAGCTCTTTAAACCTAATAATCTAACATTTTATAAAGCTAATCAGCTTCATATGGTGCATATTATTCATAGAGAAGAAATGCTTTTCTACCAGCTTGTCTAGCTTCAGGATTAGCATCAGAAAGAGCCTATTACATCCAAGGTTCAATAATATGAAGCTGCTTTAATATAACCTGCTCAAAAGGGTAGTTTTACATTATCTGAAATAAATAGCCAGATATCTTAGCATGTGCCCAGGTATTCTTGCTAGTTTTCATTTCTTCTTAAAACTTCTAAATGACTCTATTTAATAGTTAAAAGATAAGTAATCTGTATATTTAGGCTTATTAGGCCGACATAATGCTAATGCAAGTGATTATTGGTAGCTTACTTAGGGACGCAGACGTAATTCAAAATACTGATAATTGTCTAATTACCAATCTCTGCAAGTACTTTAGTTCCACAATGGACCAGTTTTATCAAGGAATCCTTCGTGATTAATTTATTTGCGATTCCTTCAAAATCATCTTATAAGACTTGTGCCATTATCTAGATTGTTTTACCCGCCTCTCTGGCACTTGCTGATCGCAAATCCATTACCTTTTTAGATTAGATATATTTAGTAATTTACTTAGGCAGTAACAGAGTTACAAAGTTTGTTCAGTTAATTTATATAAAAACTGAATTGAATATTAGAAGTCTAGTTCACAATATCTTAGTAGAGTAGAGTGATTTCCTGAATTCTTCTCAGACTATCAGCTCTCTTTTTCCAGTCAGATGTCTCTGTATAGAATTTAAAAATGATGTTAATTTACGAGTGTCTTTCAGAACTTCAACAATCTTGTTAATTTCTTATTCAAGATCCTTTTCTGAATGAATATTAGCCTTCTTAATTTAGGAGATATCGATTGGTGCTTAGCTGTTGAGTGCAGATTCCATTTTATTTTTATTAATGAAGCTTCTTAAAGTTTCAAATTTAAAAGTAACAATTAACTTAAATTTCATATTTAATCAAGAGGTATATTATATTTTATTATCACCAGCCTTCAACATTACTAATTTTAGCTTGCTTTACTAGCTAATCAATTCTATGATATTAATCAAATTTCTTAAGCTTTTTATCATTATCTCTGCTTTCAACAGCCTTGTATATCTGCGTTGCAAATTTACTTAAATCCTACTTAACTTTAGTTGTTGTGCTACCTGGAGATCTAGCATTTGTCATTTGTTTTTTCACATCAGAAACTGGATGACTAGCTGTCCTATTCGTACTTTGATCTTCATTTCTCGGTGAATGATAATATATATTTCCAAAAGGATTTGTAACTCTAGAATGAATAGGAGGATTATCTTGAATAGTTATTTAGAAGTTTTTGTTAGGTGAAAACTAACTTCTTTTTTTCATGAAAGTAGAAGAATTAGGCCTTGTGAATTCATTGTTTATCTTAGATGCACTATTATTATTTTTAATTTAGCTAAAAGAATCTCTATGAGTCCATCTGTCTTTGGAGTCCTGCCTCTTTAAAAGGTTTCTATTTATTGCCATCTCTTCCCCAAGATTAATAATCTCTTCAAAAAACACATTTGTCTAAGTTTACGTGTATATCTATAGGTCAATCTAACCATTTCTGCTTTATTTATTTGAGGCGTTCTTTGATAGTTCTTTTTAATTAGACTTTAGTTGGTAATAAGATATTGATGGAATGTAATGCGAATAACTTGCTAGATGATCATGAACTATAATGTTAGAGTCAATAGACTATTAAGACATGTGCTTGTCTTTTTCCAATTCAAACAATTTTTACTCTGGGGACTTCTTTTAGAAACAATGCGAAAAATATGGTTAAGTATTCCTAAATATGCTTCGCTTTTATTTATTGAAAGCAGTTCTCGATTCATTGAATTGGCTTCTGCTCTCTTTTCTCATTGATTGCTTATCATTATAGTCTTGCAGACCTGCTTATTTTAATGAAGATCATTCTTAAGATTCAGCTTGTACTCTGTTTCTTGAAAATACCACTTTAGATTGGAAAGTCTCATCATCTTTGCTACATATAATTTAATCTTTGTATTGCTTAAGTATTGTTAAATCCTACATGTCTTCTTAATCCCTTGTTACTTATTTTTCTAGTTTACTATCCACTTAATACGATTAGACATTTGAAATAACTTCATTGTTTTTCACACTGTTAGTTCTATTCTTAGATTGAGGAGAGAATCCTTTCTTAAGCTTAACGTTTATCCTATAATCACCGAGACTTAATTTTCTATTACCTATTGTAGCATTATTAAAATCAGTTTAGGTCTGGTATGAGATATTTAGCTTTTGGTTTAATTTGCAATTTTATGGATCTCTATTTACTCTTCCTATTAATGATGCCGAAGTTTTTTCAATCAAAGAATTTCTATTATTTGTTCCTGTGTAACTTGGCCCATTCAATAAAATATCTTTCAAAGTTTTAACACCATCATAGAACGGCAAGTATGATTTTTTTGGTTTAAGATTTCTCTGCTTCCTCTCATTTACAATGTGCTTCTTTTGAAATATGACTTCTTGTAATTAGGTGTTAGTCAATGGGTATCTAAATTACTCAAGCTATTCCGCATGAATAATAGGTTCAATCAAACTGAAAGCTCTTTCATCTTAAATGAGCATCTTGTTTTGCTTGGTACTTTACTACTTTTAATTCATTTAACTTTACTATTGTTGTTAAGTTATTCTCTTGATTAAGAACATTTGGTTTCCCTCATTCCTATTAAGACTTCCCTGATGTTACTAGTGCTTTTCAATGCTAATCCTATTTTGAAATCTTCCTAGTTTGTTCACCGCAATCGTCTATTCTTTAGCTTTTTCCTTTACAGTCAAAAGTGATTTTGGTTAGTTAAAGGTAGAGTTAGCTTAATCATGATTAGTTTGAGAATCACTTGAAATTCTAATCTAAAGCTTTGGTTAGAGAATGCCTTAATCTTGAGAAATGACTGAATTAAACAAGTCCTTGTTAAAGGTCAAGTCTGGGCCCTGTTCATACTGCTCGTCAGTCTCATTAATAAGCATGCTATTCCTATTTAAAGATAGTCTTAACTAGGAATCTCTCTTGAAACTCCCTTGTTTATCTAGAATAAGCGGACTATTTTTCTTGATAATAGACATTTTATTTTAATTTGATACTAGATCTTGTAAGTAATTAATTTTATTAAAGGATTTATAGCAACTCTAAATCAATGAGCTTCAATTTATTTTATCAATTTGGTACTTGGGGTTTTGGGGTTTTGGGG